GAAGCTGTTAAGCTGCTGGGGCTGCGGCAGGGCAGGGGAGGTGCCTGCCCCTCCAGTGGGAGAACTGGGTGGGGAGCCCTTCAGGAGCAGCAGGGAGCTGCATGGCCAGGTTGGTGGCACTGGGGCCAGTGCCTGTGTTCACAGGGGTGGGGCAGCTGGGAGACGCTGCAGGCCTGGGGAGAGTTGTGGACTGCAGGTTGGGAATGAGGGACACCAGCAAGGCTGGGGTGGGGCAGCAGGCTGCCAGTTAGGAGTGAGGAGCAGCAGCAAGGCTGGGGGGGCTGTGGTTTGCGCGTGAGGGGCATTGGGGAGGTGGGGGACTGTAGGCCAGGAGTGCAGTGCACAGGCAGTACCAGGGGGCTACAGGTCAGGAGTGAAGGATATCAGCAGGGACAGGGAGAGGCTGTGGGTTGGGAGTGAGGGGCACCAGTATAATCTGGAGGATGGGGTACTGTGGGTTGGGAGTAAAGGGCAGCAGCAAGGCTGGGGGGGATGTGGCTTGGGAGTGAGGGGCAGGGATGGGCCATGGGGAAATCACTGTCCCCTCCACAATCATATTACCACCCCCTCCCCCCCAACAAGTGTCCTCTTTTTTGAAATTGGAAATATGGTAACCCTACGCAGTGGTGGAAATAAGTGAATGGAGATGAAGTGAAAAAAGGCTTCTTGCAGCTGGATGTGAGAGGCGGTTGGGAAATCTCGTTGGGATTGGTGGGAGGGCATGCTTGTGTGGGGGTTTGGGCAGAAAGGCTGAGGGGAGGATGGAAGTTAGAGCTCTCCAGTTCTCCTATGTTGTTTGGGAAATCCTCTTTGTGGACTTCTTGTATATTGTAAGCAGAGTGGGATATATATCTAAAAAATAAATAAATAATAGCTAACTAAATAAATATTGCACCTGATAATTACAACAAAGCTCACTGGTTTTCATGAAGGACTACAGAATGAAATAATGTGACGTCCACAGATTAAGCTTACATTTACAAAAGGAGCTAGAAGACTTTTCAAAGAGTGACATTCACATCACATTTTTCTTTAAAATTTTATACTGTAGTAGATTTTGAAGTTTCTCTAATGAAAACAGTTTTGAGAAGGAAACTCAAGATTAGACTGCGAGCTGAGATAATAATGGACTTTTCAGATCAGTAGCTGCATCCAAAAATTGAAAAACAGACTTCATTTGTAGTCAACCCAAAATATTTAATTTGATCCAAATATGTTATCTGCTTTTAATTTTGTATTCTGTCCACCTTTTTACTATTTTAAGAAATCATGTGCCAATTTTGAATGGAAATTATAGGTTTGAAATGAAAAGACAAACTGTTTCACTTTAAAGTAAACATTCCCAAAAATGTTAAATTGATGTTTCCAAAAAAAATTCCAGGGGAAAAAAATTCCCATTTTTTTGTCAATTGAAACTGTTCTTCAAGTCCACAAATAGTTTTGGTCTACCAACAACCTCTTTTTTTTTTTTTTTTAGTAAATTTGTGATTCGCAGCAAAAAAATGCCCAGTTTCCCTTACACTAGAAAGTGAATTATTACCTAAAGTCGTGGTCACACTTTTGTTAATTACACTAGTACAATTTGTTACAAAATTTGAAAAAAAAAAAAATCACCTCTGATTTGTATTTCTCCCCATGCTAGTTTTAAAGACATAAAATATGTCTATTTAAGGTTCTGTGCTCATTGTCACAAGTGCATTAGACAAGAGGTGTTCTTTTTAGTCATAGTTTTAATGTTCCTGTTATTTGATTTTCATTACAAAATCTATCAGATCTTCTATGTCTTGTCTTCATTTTTGAATCTCAAAAATCATCTTTTTATTGCCTCTTGTACAATATGTTTTAAAAGTTCTCACACAGTGCGCTATTAAAACTCAGCTAAACTTTATTATTCATTCAGTCTCCTCCATTATTTATCCCTCTTGATTTGGAAGTAGGACTCAGAGCTTACAGCAGCACAGCGCTAAGAGTTTGTTGCTATTCCCTGGAACAGAGCCTTACCACAATTAGCCATTGATCCAGCTGCTAGTATCATGACAAGGGAACTCAAACTCTCTCCTCCTTGAGGCAATCACTCCACAGAGAAACCCTTCAACATCACAAGCTTCCACTGCTACATTGCTTAACTGAATAATCAGGCTCAGAGCTGATTTTTCAAACTGCAATAAGATACACATGATACTTTAATTCATTAGGAAAATGTTTTTCCATCACAGACCTGTTCAGCCTTCTTCTGTGTGGAGGAACGTATTTTTTGCTGGTTCTTGAAAACACAACTTTGCATGTGTTGAGACTCATGTAGCAAGATCTTTCATGAAGAGGTAGAGATAATTCATGATTTTTTTTCTTTTCTAGATGGTTTTACTGTAAGAACAAAATCTCATTCATATCTGAAAGATCCAGTGTGGATAATCAGATTTTATGAATTAGCTAGTATGGAATGGGAAAACAATCAAAGGTGCAGCCTGATAAAATTCACAGTACTCGTTTATTTTGACAGGTGTAGTTCAATTCTAATGATTCATGACAATACTTCAGAATATACTAGAAAATGTACAGTAGTATTAAATAATAAAGGACCACATTAGACACTCTGCTTTTAAAAAGTCAGTAACAATTGGGATTAGATGGCAAGGTTTTTTATGAGAATTTTCAGGTTTGGGTGTGACTCTAGAAGACTGCACTCTGGCAACAGTTATACACTATTGTAGACATAATGGCTAAAGAGTGTACTTCAAGTCAATTCACTCCGTAGCAAACATTTTTTGGTCATGAAAAGATCAAGTGCAGCTACTGATTTCAAACCTGCAGAGAAATTTTGGTTCAAATACAAATTCGTTATTGAATTTGAATATTCAATTTGACTATCTGTTATTGAGTATCTTCCCATTTTCTTTACTTGTACAACAAATAAACTTACCTTTATATTTAATGTACATCTTAATATATCTATGTAGGCAAATCCCTGCATCTATATGTAGCGCCATGGGTTTTAAAAAGGCAAGAGATCAGAGCAAATGGTTAAAAAAGTTTTAAACTTGGTAACTCAAAGGGGACTCTGTACCAATGTAGAGCTCTGCAGATTCTTATTACAAGACTAGGCCCTTATTCAGGTGCATAAATATAAATTTTGGAACCTACCTTTTAAAAACATTTCTTTAAATCTTGGCCATACATTTTGTTCTGAGACCCTTGAATTCAAGTTTTGGAATTTAAGTATGTAACCTTAACCTTTCATGTAACAAAGGTTTTCCATTTAATGTATAATACTTAATTTTTTCCCTGCTACAAAAGTCCTTGGTTGGCTCTAATTATGCTCATGAGAGTGGAGAACTGAAAAAACATATTGTTTGCCTGGGGCCTAGGGTGGGAAGAGAAGGTTTCACAATTCACCCAAATAATGCTGGAGAATCACTCTTTGTAAAGGTTTTAAAGCTTTTCATATTCCAGATTCTGGACTGACATCCACTCATCTTGTCCTATAAAGAAACGTGATCCCTTTTTTAAAGCCTTTTAAAAACATTAATCCCAAAATGACTCCAAACTGATTAAATGAAATCCAAACTGGACATTCCATCAACATGCTTTGCTCTTTCCATCGTACGGTTAGTAGATATGTTTATACTTCAGTTTTAATTTGGGGGGGAGGAGGAAAGGAAGAGTTATCAACCAGAAATGTCCAACTGATGATGTAATACATACATATGTTTGCATTTAGACTATATTAAATAAGAACGTAACATTAGAAGCCCTTAGGAACAGACGGGCAATTTCTTACCTGCCATCTTTGGCTTCTGTAAGTCTCTCTATGCCAGCCCCAAATAGCCGTTCCCTATGTGTTGTTAGGGATGGTTGATTTTGCTGATTTTGTTTTCTTCTGCGGCTTTCCAAATTACCGCCAGCAAAAGCCCAGAGCTGGCACCCTCGAAAGTCAATGCAGCTCTGCCAGGCTCTGATCCAGTAGTGGATCAGAGCCTGATCCGGCAGGATCATACAGACAGGAAGTGGGGGAAAGACACCACCAGCCCTTTGCTGTCCTGGGGCAAGGCCTTGCACTGGCTGCTTGGGCTGAAGTAGTGTGCAGGGGGTACAGCTGACCCGGTCACCTGTGCTCAGGGTTGAATTACACTTTGACTCTTGTGGGGGTCTGCAAAAAAAAAACTTAAACCAGTTCAGGACAGACACCTTGGAGGGATCATTTGCTCTCAGCAGTATTCCTGCCCAAAACCGGCAGGGTGGACTCGATGATCTTTTGAGGTCCCTTGCAGGCCTTCATTTCTATGATCGATTAACAAGTTCACCAAAGTGTAGGAACAATCCCATCGGAGGTTATGATTTTCAAATCTTACAGGGAAGCTCTCATCTCCTAGGCTGGGGCTCAGGCCCAATCTCCCCCTTAACTTGCACTCTGCCTGTGCTCCCATGGGAAGCACAACCTACCCCAAGGCACTGCTTTCCACACTGCTGAAGGGCTCAAGGGTAAAGCCGAGGGGCGGGGCTTTCAAGCACGTGGTCCAGCTCAACAGCCCTAGAGCCTCGCACCACACACAGCACAATGCTGGGAGGGGGCACTATAGGGCAGGGCCAGGCAGGGGGCGGGGCCTGTTTGAGGGTGACGTGAACAACTGGGTAAGGACCTACCGTTAAGGGGGAGGAGGGGCCTGTCGT